TTGACATGTGCCATATTATGAGGTGACAACTGAAGTTGAGCTTGTCAGCTAGTAGTTATTTGGAGTTATGTTCAATTATCCATTTTTTATTTTTTTTTTTAGTAGAAATTTGTGGTATCGGTTTTTCTTTTGTATAATATCTTTCATAATTAAAGATCCATTGATTAGATATATTCATTAAAAATAAATAAATAATAAAAGATCGTTACATTTCTCGTGAACTCATAGGTTCTCTGTAAGATTTGAATCGGCTTTAAGAGAAACAAATATTGATTGACTATCTCGATTTTGTTGTTAGTAAATATCACTATATTTGGTTGGATCTTCCAAACCATTCTTGATCTGAACCCATCGTTCGAGAGGTTTGGAAGCTTTTGTCATGTTCATTTACGTCCCATTTACTAGTTCTTTAATCGTGTTAATAATATTCGTGCATCAATTTTGGCACAAATGTCGAATTTTAACAAGAAAAGTCGTTTAAATGATCTTTATAAACTTCTCTATCTTTCTTGGTCTTTCTCAACATGGTATATAGTAAGAAAAACCTTTAAATGCAAGATAAGGAATATGAGAATCGAGGAATGAATGTGGATTCCTATCAATATAAAAACAAAGATTATTTGCATAAATGATTGATATAGGCTTTCTTCAAGGGTTGTTTCAACTTCACCTTTTGTGTTGATAAATTTTGTTGATGAAATATGGATACTGTTGGTAAAACTTGACTTCTTTGGTTGTTTGAGCACAGAGGCTCCAGAACCTTTACTGAAGAAAAGCTCGAAAGGATCCCTCGGCAGAGGTAGTATTCGCAATTAGTCTCATTTCATTGACTACAATTTGATAATCTGTGAAAGAACTGAGAATTTAGTTAGCCTGCATAGATTCAGAAGTTATTTTTGTTTCTCTGCCTGTGTCAACATGAATTGGTTGTATCAGAAGTTGATAAAGGGAACATGGTAGAATTTCATTAAAAATACGGACCTAGTAAGTTTATAGATTTTCGATCACCAAGTATGATGATGATCCTGTGAAATGCAAGCGAACGATTTGATTGCTAGGAAATATTCTGCAAAATAAATAGACGTTTATAGCTATGCAAGGTGAATAACAGTCTATAATTCCAGATATTGCTCTCGCTAAGCTTGAAGATGATAAGAGATTGTCATTTATCAAGGCATGGGAGGAAAGTGAGAAAAGCAAAGTGGAGAATAAGTAAGTCTTAGCTGCCTCTAGTATTGCATATTCAATGTAGCTGGAAGAAACATCACTCTGTAAAAATGCTTTTTATCAATTCTCGGATGCTTTAATGTACATTGACATTCTATCAAGTTTCTCCATTTTGGTTCTGTTTGAGGGTTTCTTTTTTCGAATTCGACAACTGGAGGAAGAACTAATCCACGGTTTGCCTTCTCAGCTCCTTCTACAAGTTCTTGTTATGTTGTTATCCTTTAAATTTGAGCCCTAGAGAATCCTAGAAGAAAGTTCTTAAGAAGTTTATACTGTGAGATGGGGATATTTCCTTGCCAAATTGTCCAAAATTGCTTATGCTCCTGTTTGTCTACCATTATTCAATGAAAATCATTTTTTGTCATTTGGAATGGTGAATTTTTGAAGAATGTGTGGTTAAAAAGTAGGAAAAAGTTGTGTTCTGTGCAAAAATTTAATTGTGATAACGTGTGGTTAAAAATGAGTTTGAGAAAAAAAAAGTTTTGAGATAATGATAGACAAATAAGGAGTAAATCTGAAATCCCTGCATCCAATATGTGCAAGTGTTATCCCCCAATTTCAAAGTTTGTTGAAAGAATTTTTCTGAAGGTACAGATTTTACTTAACAGAATTAATACTGGGAAACAACCGTCTCCCTATGATTGACTGGCAGCAGAAATTATTTTGACAACAGCGAATCACAGGGCGACAGTTGTCTCCTCTGTAGTAATTCTGTACTTGTAGCAAAGTTCTGACGGAAAAGGGCGTCAATTTCGGGTTATTAGCTCTCGTCTTTGGGAAGATATAAAAAGGAGTATCACCTATTGCATTGTGCACCGGAATTGAAACGAAAGGATGGAATAATTTTTTGTGTGATCTTCTATAATTTCTATTGTTTGAGAGAAAGACTTCTTTTAACGGAACCAAAAAAGGATTTTTAACATTGGTGAATGTTACGGCATTATATTTGGTTTATTTGTTTCAACCTTGCTGAATGTAACTGTTAGACACTGTTTATTCTGTTTGTATGATGGAACAGGGCACAAAAGAAGCTGTCTGAGGTTTCATCATGGGAAAACAGCAAAAAAGCAGCTCTTGAAGCCCAACTAAAGCAAATTGAGGTAATTGAAAAGCACGTTGATCTTCAAAAAAATGTATATTTCGGTTATTAGGAACGTAATTTCCAACGAAAATGCTTACAATTATATGACCTTCGACCTTTAGTCAAGATACAAAATATACATTATGCAGTTGTGTACTGGACTAGACTAAACAACATTGAACAAGATTAAGTAAAAGAAGTTAAAATCTCATTTATTCTCGCATGCATTAGTGTTCATGGTTTGTACCAAACATGCGTCGAGTGATGCTATGCTTACAAAGTAGGTTTACAAAAAAGGTTGACAAAGTGGTTGTTAGCCAAATCAAGACCACTCAATTCAAAAACAGTTTTTGAAATAAACAAAATTCATTGGCCTTGATCTTGTTAACACACACTTTGTCAACCATTTTTGTCAAACTACTTTAGACAAGTAGTTTAATTGACATGCGTAATGGTCACGTGTACATGAAATGGCAGGAACAATTGGAGAAGAAGAAAGCTGATTATGCAGAAAAAATGAGAAACAAAGTAGCTCTCGTTCACAAGCAAGCAGAAGAAAAGAGGGCTATGGTTGCAGCTCAACAAGGCGAAGAAATTCTCAAAGCAGAGGAGATGTCGGCAAAATTTCGTGCAACCGGGCATGCTCCTACAAAGGTTTGTGGGTGCATCGGAGGCTAAGATTCTCTCATTTGGTAATCAAAGATCTGGGATATTGGCATGTCTTCCCTGTAAAGTGTGTGTCTCTTTATTTTTGTGTTTTTAACAAATTCAGGATATGACTTGAATTTGTTTTCCGTGTGATCTTGTATAGTGAGAGTACTTTTGGCTTGTGGTAAAACAAGTTAAGTTGTTTATTACTTATGTCAAAAGTTCCCGTCGCTATTCGAGATTTTTATTTATTTATGTTTATATTTTCAAGTATAGAACATATTGCTCGTCCCGGTGTAGCACCATGGACAGTGCTTCTCTGCTAAAAATTTAAGCTATTAAAGATTCGAGGTTTTTATTCATTTATGTTAATATTAATATTCAAGAACAGAAAACGTTGCTCGTCCCGGTGCAGCACCATGAAGAGTGCTTGCTCATCCACGTTAACCTAAAGCAGTCTCTACTTGCATATTGCTAACAACCCACGAAGTGTATTTGAAAATGGATTGATCCTTTCTACTCAATTTCTGTTGTAGACTATCTAAATATCCAGCAAAAAGTAAAGGGCTCAAAGAAAATAGAACAAACGAGAGATAATAACTCAAATGGTTACTGAACTTTGTAAAAGATTTTCACGGAACCACTGAACTTTAAAAATTACCAAAGTCATCACTAAATTTTACAAAAAAATTTCACGGGATTACTAAACTTTAAAAATCATCCCCATTCATCACTAAACTTTTCCTTTTGCAAAATTTAGTGATCCCATAAAGACATTTTGCGAAGTTTAATGATAAATGATATTATTTTTTAAGTTTAGTAATTTCATGAAAATATTTTGCAAACTTCAGTGATGACTTTGGTGATTTTAAAATTCAGTTACCCATTAAAAACTTTTTACAAAGTTCAGTGATCATTTAGGCTATTATCTCAACAAAAGATGTTGAGTCTAGACGACCTTCTATGTCTTTCGTGTAAGATGGACTGCTTGCGCCAAGAATGAATTCATCATACGAAAGAAGAACTTATCTTGATAGAAGTTTTTAGATTAAATGTTTTAACAAAGTTATATAGACTTATAGCTAATTTTTATTAAAAAATGTTGAACTCCAACCTTGAGATCCCCATCGCCCCGCCCCCATGAGAAAGATAAATAACAGAATGTGCCCCAACAAATCAGAGAACAAGAATTTATCCATACACTTGCCCACAAAAAGTTTAATTTCATATCTCAAGAATCTAACCCTCACACTGCGACCACTAGCAAAACTAATACTACATTACTCATATCTTTTGCACCACTAAATTATGCCCCAAGGGGCGTACCTAATTTTTATTAATGTAGATATATCAGTGTACCAATTATATGATCATTTATTAGAAAATCGGCCGCAGTTCTCTGGATAACCAAATGGTAATTTTGCAGCCATCTATAATAGTGTGAGTAAAGAATCAAGTTGATCCAATAAGGAGGATATCATAATCTACGTCTATGCATATGAAAAAATTGAAATTCATAGATTTTATTTTTCTTTATTTTTACCTACCTCTCCCTAAAAATTGTATTTTGATCAGCAATAAGTGTAAAAATAACTATATATTTTTTTTAATCAACCTTCGTTCTCATTATTGTGATGAAACTGTGAAAATGTTTTACGAAAGCACTTAAAGAAAGTGATATAATTACGCTCTTGCAATGCAAGAAATTGGTAAAAGGCTGACTTTTCCCAAAACTAAAAGACAGTGAAGGGGGGGACGCGGGGGTGTGCCGGGGTGCGCGAGGATAGAACTACGAGGTAATAACAGAAGATCACCAACAGATTTTGCATTAATCTTACAGGATGTGCAAATAAACCAAACTAGCCCCATTGGAAATAAGAACGTCGAGTTGCTGACAGAACTGAAGGCAACTGCAAAGTGAACTTGACATATTATCCCGAACATACATAAGATGGTGAATACTTTAAAGGACAAAGAAATGTGCCTGAAATTCTGGCATTGTCTGCCTCATAAGTCAAAATACAAAGTCTTCAATTACCAAAGGCACAGTTTAATACAGCACCGCACACTTGATCATGTACTTCGAACGTGCAGCCAGATGTTTCTGTACAAAAAGAAGAAATCATCGAGGACAAGTAAGATACAAGGGTCAAAAATTGGCAAGATGTCAACAATATATTGAACTAATAATTTCAACTAGCAAACAAATGCCAGCCACTAAGATACAAAATATTTTTTTTAACAATGCGGGGGGGAATAAGTGTCAAATACGGAACACAACCAGGAAACTTAGTGCATGTTTGGTACATAATACTAGAAATGACTGTAGTATGATAAACAAGATTTTAGCTTATTTTTCGTTACTAATATCGTCCAAAACTATCTAATCATCCCTACTAAACATGCCATTAATTGTTCTCTCCCAGCACCAAAAGAAATTTCGAGAGGAGGGATTATGATTGTTTTCTTGGAACTTCATATAAGAATTGACACTAATGTTTACCTCATACGTACCTGAGGTCCAGTCAGAACTCAAGAAAAAAGTGTGCCCATTTCATCAAAACCATAAAGTCATATACAGATCACCACACAAAGACCATCCAAAAGAAAGCATTTATCTGAATATATGATTAACACAGTATTCCAAAGCTGATTAATACAGTGTCACAGCTTTGGAATATCTGCATATACTTCATTGCGATTAATACCATAATAGTCTATTAATAACCACGAACATTAAGGGATCCACCAATTCAACTATTTTTTTATTTTTCCTTAAAGGTCAATAATAGGTTCAAGTCTTCAAAGATAATGCATTGCCTGAAAAGAAAGACGTCTTCTCTATAGTTATCCCTCAAGTTAAGTCCCTGATTCCTTCAGAGTCCAGAATCCAACAGTCTGAACAAGAAATAATCAACTTATATTTTCATCTCCACCC